TTCACATCCTGCACTCATAATGCACAATAATGAACAATAATGACAACAACAACAATGTATGATGCCAATGACATTTGTGCAGAGGTCATATGCTCTTGAATGCCCCTACCATGCCTTCCAAAGCACTCCCTTCGCTTGCAAACATTTCCAAAGTGCCTGAACCCATTCCAATACTTAAACCTTGTGCTGCAGCTGTACCTACTCATCTTGCTCTGTAATGACGTCCGCTGAAAATGGTATGTACTGAGTATATGGGGGGGGGGGGGTAACTAAAACAAACCTGGCTCTATAAACCAACACATATTGTTCATAGCATACCAAGATTCTCACAATAAGAACCTTTTTTTTGGAATGCATGAAATTCACCGAGAACTAATGAGGTGACAAAAGATAGGAGTTCTGGTTTCAAAATCACACAATAAGGTGGTTATCCTGTTACTACAATCAACTATGGTACAATATTTATGGTAATTGCATGCCTTTGAAGTAAATTGAGGAACTGTCACACTTTATGAAGGAGAAAAAAAGAGAAAGGGAGGGGGAGGGGGAAAGGGAAAGGGAAAGGAGGAGGAGGAGGAGGAGGAGGAGGAGGAGGAGGAGGAGGAGGAGGAGGAGGAGGGAGGAGAGGAGGAGGAGGAGGAGGAGGAGGAGAGAGGAGGGAGAGAGGAAGAGGGAGGAGGAGGAGGAGGAGGAGGAGGAGGAGGAGGGAGGAGGAGGAGAGAAGAGAAGGAGGAGGAGGAGGAGGAGGGAGGAGGAGGAGGAGGAAGGAGGAGGAGAGAGAAGAAGAAGAAGAGAGAAGAAGAAGAAGAAGAAGAAGGAGAAGGGAAGAAGGAGAGAGAAGGAGAAGGAGAAGGAGAAGGAGAAGGAGAAGGAGAAGGAGAAGGAGAAGGAGAAGGAGAAGGAGGAGAAGGAGAAGGAGAAGGAGAAGGAGAGAAGGAGAAGGAGAAGGAGAAGGAGAAGGAGAAGGAGAAGGAGAAGGGAGAAGGAGAAGGAGAAGGAGAAGGAGAAGGAGAAGGAGAAGGAGAAGGAGAAGAGAAAGAAGAGAGAGAGAAGAAGGAGAAGGAGAAGAAGAGAAGAAAGAGAAGAAGAAGAAGAAGAAGAAGAAAGAGAAGGAAGAAGAAAGAGAAGAGAAGAAGAGAGAAGAAGAGAAGAAGAGGAAGAGAAGGAAGAAGAAGAAGAAGAAGAAGAAGAAAAGAAGAGGAAGAGAGGAGGAGAGAAGGAAGAAGGAAGAAGAAGAGGAGGAGAGGAGGAGTGGAAGGAGGAGGAGGAGTGGAGGAGGAGAAGGAGAAAGGAGGAGGAGGGAGGAGAGGAGGGAGGAGGAGGAGGAGGGAGAGGAGGAGGAGAGGAGGAGGGAGGGTGAAGGAGGAGGAGGAGGTGAGGAGGAGGAGGAGAAGGAGGAGGAGGGGAGGAGGAGGGGTGAAGGAGGGAGGAGGAGAAGGAGGAGGAGGAGGAGAGGAGGTAAGGAGAAGAGAAGGAAGAGGAGGAGGAGGAGGAAAAGAAAAGAGGAGAAAAAGAGATAAAAGAAACTAAAACTAGAAACTAACCGATCATCTGCCCCCATTCGACGACCGTTCCATTGTCATTGGACGAAGCTTCTGCCATGTGTACCAAACCTTCTTTGTCTTTCCAACCGTGAACTGGATAGATACCTGAAATATTGAGAATGGCTGATAACAGACAACATTTGGGCTTTAGGTGGAATTCAGACATTTCAAATTCTTAATTCGAAAATAATGAAACTATCCTTATAGTCAATTCTGCAATAACACAACCACTACTATGATATATTGTGAAAGCTAAAACATGTTTTGTCAATATTACTTCTCTCATGGTAGTATTATGAGGGAAAATACTGTTGTGGGTTCTGCAGTTTTGAGAACTTAAATTGTATGTACATTCCTTGAAAAATTTAAACACTAAATTCCTTTCTCTTTATCTAAGTTTTACCATTTACTATTTACTATTTATCCCAGCAATAACTGAAAACAAAATTCACTGATATTTCTATTCAGTGTAAACTTTATAGCATCGAAAATATTTGTATTTCATCTATCCATTATATATATCAAAATATACACTCCTTAAGAGTAACATACTGTAATGCAGGAATACATGGCACACAGGAAAAAACAAGGCAAAATTAAGTTTACCAAATACTTTTTCTGTTTACCACAGTAAGGAGTTTCTTATTCTTATCTTCTCCAGGCATTCATAGGTCTGACCTTTCCTTCCCTGGTAATTCTGACAGTACGGACATTCTCGCCAGATACCAAGTCCCCATATCCATGCTACAAACTTGAACTCAACAATCATAATTGCCATGACTGGCCATGCCCTTTAGGCACTGCCTGAGGGGAGGGTTGATCTGGGGTCCGCCCCAACACTCCCCGAAAACATTGTCTGTACCATGGTATGCTTACGATGCTTTTCCTTCATTTGTGGCATTACCATTTGTGCTTGCAAATTATTTCTTGTATCAATTACTACAACTTTTTGTTCTCTACAGGAATATGTTCTTTAATTTACCCTAGTTCAGTGCATCCATACCATTAAGATTAACCACTTTGCTTTATGGGGTTATCATAACAAGCAATATATTTCGGTTAACTGGAAACTTTAAAAATGCCATTTTCATGAGAAATAAACAGCAAATTTTTGTTTTGTTTTTTTTGTTTCACACAGCCATCCAATCATGCAGATATCATTCCTTATTTTCATTATTCATGGTGTAATATCGATGAACCACTGTTCTCACTCCCTGTGCAGCATTTGCTCCCTATCTTACGACAGTCATTATGTAAAGGTATACCAAAGCTGAAAAGTGTCCAAATTTTTGCTCTTCTTACCAAGACAAAATTAACCTTCTATCATGTGGCTGTGTGCAATTGAAACTATACCTCATCACATACGTAGCACCACTGGTCCATCAGAGGAAACTCTTCTTTCTCCAATAATAGTGACACCATTTGTTTGGTGTCACCATTAGATACAAGCACTTCCTTTACTGTTGACAGGATGACAAGAATACATGCCATGTTTTTTTGCTTACTTAGATGGTTCCACAAGTGCTCAAATACCAAAGAGACAATTACTAGTTCCGCCTATCTCACCTGTTTACCCATTTCCTTGGTTGCTATCAGTATCAATAATAACTTTATAATATTCATAATGATAAAAACAATGACATTATCAATATTAACCCATTTATGATGGGTGTCCTATATATGAGACACCCGGAAAAATAAACATTGCCAGGCGTCCCGCCAGTGTGACGTTGGATCAGAGCTCGCGCTACAAATACATCACGGGCCGCAGCCGGTGTACAGGCAGATTCCTGCCAACCCCGCGAGCCGATTTTGTAGCTGCCCAGAAAATAATATTTTTGGCTTCAAAATATACCCAAGTTAGTGGGTTAACTTTTTTTTCCCTGAAAACTCAAGGAAAGGGGAAATCAGCTTACTAACTGGCTCCTTGGTGGCTGAGCATTTGTGGAGCCATCTATGTGCAAACATATTTCCCAAAAGAAAACAACAACAGTCAGTGTGAGTACCTTTAAATTTAAATGCAGGAAAACTCACTTTTTAAAACTTTTGGTCATAAAATACAACTGTAAGCTAATAATACTGCTGTTAATGGGCTATATTTCAATATGAGAATGTAATCCTACCTTTAAAACTGTTTCCCACTCTAGAGAGGAATTTATAACTGTTGCTTTAACTGCCAATCCCAATTAAAAAAATAAATATCCCTTAAACTAATGCTTTCCAATTTTCACTCCAAAGTTTAAAGGTATGAAGGCTATCCATGAGACAGTGAAGAGGCAGTCCAAGTAGAATAATGCAAACCACATCATGATAAATAGCCCTTGGCCCTCTTCAGCCACGGGGGACCTGAATCTGCCCTAGCTATGACTGGTAAGCAGGAGCACAGGTACCTTCAATGCCCATTCCTGTTCATCTTAGGAAAAGAAAAGAAAAGAAAAGAGGGAAAAAAAATACAACAACAACAAACCTTTCACCGATGCATGGGCATCATTGCCTGTATTGACATTTAGGAAGGCACCTGTGCCTAGAGTGATTTTCACATCTCCAAGGTTAAAACCACAGGATCCGCACAGTGATGCACCTTGATCTGACACCTGTTGATTAGATAAGAATGATGTACAGATTGTAAAATTCTTTGAAAAATTCATTATGATGAAAAATAAAAGTGCGCAAAAAGGAAGCACCAAAAGCAACCAAGACTGTCTCTATACACTTGCAAGAAAAGAAGCACCATTAATTACCACAAACATCCATATACCAGAACAAAAAAACAACTTTAGACAGATAATACAAGAAAAAAATTTGTATTTCACTCTCTCACATACAGAAGACTACAAGGCGAAGCAAAATTTAGCTTCTCTTTCTCATTCACTTGATGCAGAAAAGAAGTACTATCAATGAAGAACTGAACCACTAATTTCAGATATGACTAAAAATCTTACCACAACAGTAATGGGTATAGGTGCCCCAAACAACTTGGCAGGGCAGAAACCCCAGTCTCCCACAGAGTCTCGAAGCTCTGGGAAAATATTCCTTGGGATATTCAATAAGCTTAGGAAGAAGGCATTCCAGTCTTCTATAAAGGGATCATACAAGGCTGTCCCACTAGCATTGGAGTAGTCTGTCGCATGTATCTGAAATGGAATAGCCAAATGCAATGTTATTAATGGTTAAACAAATCATAACAATAAAAGCACAGCAAAGAAAAAAAAGGTAATAATAAAATAGAAACCATGTTTTGAGAAACAGGAAAAGAAAGAAAACTACATAGATGTGGTGTGAATGTATCTGACAATTCTCTCACAGGCATCATGGAATAAAGCCTGAATTTTCTGTCAGCCAATCCTGTCGGTGCACTAAAAGCCAGATTGGTCTGAATTTTCTCATGATGATGCATGATGCCAGGTTGCTGGTTCATGGATAGTACTACTGAACCTTTATTTCTATTGTCCCTTAGGGATATACTCCGCCATGCATCAAATGTACCACCGCTTGCCCACACCTGTCCAGTTGGCCAGGGTAGTAAATAAAGGACTAAACTAAAAATAAATGAAAAAAAAAAAAACATATATTCCCCAGTTTTTATCACCCTAATTTTTTATTCCCTTTTACCCACTGTATTCTGAAGTGCCCCTGAAGAAATACTATATATTTTGCAAATATCATCATTAGAGTCGACCAAAAAGGCATGCTGTTAGTAAATCAACAAGTTGGGATAAGGAATAATCAAGAGAGAAACCAAACCCTTGAATATTAGAGAAAAAAGAAATATCGAATCAGCCAACTGGAAAAATTGAAACAAATTTAGAAAGTGAAAAGTTTAAATGAAGGACAAGAAAAAAAGAAACAAGACAGAAAACAAAACAAAAGAGAGCTACAAGACTGAGGTAGAAAAAGAAAAAAAAAAGAGAGAAAAATACACAAGAAAAATATGAGAAAAACAACAGAAACCAAATGCAAAAGAAAGCGCGAGAAAGAAAGAGGATGGAAATGCTACCTTGCCCTCACTCAGCTTGTAGATCAGCCAGCAGTCAATGGTACCGAACATGACATTGCCTTCTCTCACCAGCTTCTTAACTTGCTCGTTGTTCTCCAGGACCCATTTCAGTCTCATGTTTACCTGGAGAAGGAACAAAACAACAAAAACAAAAACCTTTACTAAACTACACAAAAACATATAGGTATCTCTTGGCATCAAATTCAAATACAAAACATTTACAACTATATTCATCAAAGAAAGAAAGAAAAGATCTATAAACCAAAAAGAAAAATATAAGTAAATTACCTGAATATTCATAAATCTCAGAACACTAGCAGCCATGTACCTCTTCCTCCTTAGTATTTTGTAAAGGATGGACCCGACAAATCTTATCCCCTGGAAAAGATGGCAAATGATAACAAATAAGAAATTCATCACAGAGGGGTGGGGGGCATTGGGCAGTATGCTATTCCCCATGGCTTAAAAGTCAAAGGAATATACAAGAGGAAAAAGAAAAAGAAGAAGAGGAGGAGGAAGAAAAGGAAGAATAAAAAAAAAGGAAGAAGAAGTAGAAGAAATTAATAAACAGGCAGCAACAATGCCAGGAGAGCATCATAGAGTCCGTTCAGGGAGACACATGGGGAACAAAAGATACACAAAAATGGGCATACATTACAGAAATGCTTACCTTAAACTTACTGTCAAAGGAGGACCCCAAGAACGTGCTTGAAGGATTGCCTTTGGGAGATAACCCAGTAAAAAGGAATAGGGTAGTGAGAGTGGGCTTGAAGAGGTCTTAGTGAAAGAAAACAGTACCAGAATTACTTCCTCACAATCACTAACTCTTACGGTAAAATTAAATGTGTGAAAAGGGCAGTCCTTAAGATGCATGCATGCTCCATCATGGATACTTGGATCCAGTGTAAACATTAGAAAAAAATTCTTAATCAATTACCCTTGGACTTTAGGGGTTAAATCTACTGATTACACTAAACATCTAAACCTATTTTAGATATAAAGAAGATGTATTTGGCTACACCATAAAAAATAATTAAATCAAGCAATTCCCTTTTGTTGTGTATTTTCACATTTTGAAATATGCAAACATCAGGAAATTTTTTTCTCCCTTTTTGTCTCAACACTTGTCACGTTCTGCCAATAAGCAACACATCCCGACAAACACTCTATGGCTACTAGAATCAGGAATGACAGAGTTGGATTTTTGGCTCTCATACGTATTTTTCCCGTTTAGGGGGACTTTTCATACCTACTTGTAAAAGAACATTTCTTCTAAAAACTTGTTATAAATGACTAGATGAATTACATATAAACCAAATGTAGAAATCCATTATTTCAAGGACCCCAACATAATGGCTTGATCATATGAATAAAAAAATACCTACTCTCTCCCTGTCTCAGCCTTCTACTCACCTTCATCTTCCACGAGGAATTCCACCGAGTGACTAAGGCATCAGCACGAATGTCTTTCCAGGTGATGAAGTTATGCAGTGTTTCACCTGTTCTGCGGTCCCAAGTGATAAAGGTGGCTCGTTGTGTGCTCAGGCCAAGGCAGCGTATGTTCCCTGCGTTAAGGCCTGCCGCTGTGGACAACGGGAGAAGGAAAGACATCATTTGAGCCTTCAGGTAAACAATACACACAAATTATTAAAGATAGATACAAGAATGATAGAAATAAAAACAAAGTCTGAAAACTAACCTCAATATAAAGATAAGATAAAAAACATTAAGTCAATAAGCAAAAAATATCAATAAAATACAAGAAGCACAGGTAAAGACTGAGAAGATAGAAATGAAAAGCAATACATCAACACAAAATTTAAAAAATACACACACACACACACACACACACACACACACACACACACACACACACACACACACACACACACACACACACACACACACACACACACACACACACACACACACACACACACAGAGTTATACGATAATTCA